AATTTCAGATTAGATTGATTATGTGGTGAACCTCACCCATCTTCTCCCCCAGGCTGAATGGATTGCGTTGTTTGTACAGTTTCATAGAGAACTCACTTTCACATACAGTTTATATGCACCTACGCAGCCACTCCCAAATGTAAAAGGGCTGCCATAATATTCCATATTTTCCTGTTTTTAAGGTTCTGAAGAAAACAGAGTTCCCTAAAAAGGAAACTGTGGATTTGTGCCATCAAAATCCCTCCTGGAGAGGCCTGATAAAAAAGTAATCCTCCTCTCTTCTTCCATTGAACTTCACTGTCTGAGTTTAACTATCTTTATTCTTTCTCATTTATAAATAAATTATTTTTTTTTAAGTCTCTAAATTTTTAAATAAAAAGTCTCACCTTCTTTTTAGGATGGAGCGCGTTCAATCCCGGGCACTGACTTGCCTCCACAGTATCCTCTCCACCATGGATGCAGAGTCTTTGGGTGGTGCAACAGCCCTGCAGGAAGCAGCACAGCATCTCTCCTCTATGGTCTTTGGTGCTCCAGGTCTCACATTAATAAAACTTCTTCTGCAGTATTATAGTACCATTTGTTATTTTTCTATTTAAAGAAGGCAAAAAAGTGAGTATGCATTTGTGAGAAAGGAAACTACAAATCGAAACTATATGTTTCTTTCAGAGATTCCCAAAGACGAGGAGTTTCTAGAGGCTGTCATCAGCGCCATGCGATCTCTTTTACAGATGATTGCCTCCAAAAATATCCCACAGGTAGATAAGACGCCACTATTTAAATAAACAGCTAAATCAGTCTTGGTGATTACAAAAAGAGGTCAAAGTCTGTGCAGCCGAGGTCGAGGTATCCCGACTTTTAGCTGCTAGCTGAGGGTAAATGATAAAAATGCTTGATTCTACATTTCCCTGTGCCTAATTATATAGTCTTTGTTATCATGGCTGCAGAACACATGACAGGAGTATACAGGTTGAATAATACTCCATATGTTAGTTCCGTCTTTGGTAACTGCATAAAAACAGACCTGAATGTAAAATTTCCGCCTTGAACTGAACTTTAAAATCCACTGCCACTTCACACTTGCTTCTGTTGACAATTTTTGTTCCTGACAGCTCAGTATCTATGTGTTTGGCTTTTGTTTTTGCTAGTGTATGACCCCCCAGCAGCTGATGAGCTTGAGCGAAACGGCCACCCGCTGTGATGTTGTCAGCGTGAGGGTCAACGCCGTCGCCATTCTTGGCATCACTGGCAGCACATTAGCCAAAGAGAAGGGCACTGCAGAAACCCTGCAGGTATCTCTTTCTCTCGTTTATTCTTTTGGAAAAGTTGTTCTTCCTCTAAGAACCTCTTCTTCCACAGATGATCGGAAATGCGTTGCTTCAAGTTGCCACAAAGGATCCTGAACTCGTTGTAAATGGAGAAGCCCTTGATGCTTTGTTTGATGTGTTTGCGGATGGAGAGGAGGCAGAGACAGCTGCAAAAAACATCAGTCTGCTGCCTGCACTGAAGGCACTACAGCCTGTCTTCAAGACCAAGGTACCAAAGATAAATTCATCTTTACTGATCTGTGTGCTTGATAATTTCTCAATATTTTTTCAGCTATGCTTTTTTTTTCCCCCTGGAAATATACGAAGCACATTTATTTTTTTCTTATTTCGCCACTACATTGTGTGAATTCTCCTTTGAATAACAATTTTTTTTTTTCCACTACCAGATTCGTAAAGAAGGAAAAGGCAAATACAACCCTCAGCAGCTGTGTGTGCTGGATAACATCAGAGTGAACCTGAGAAGATTTATTGGTTATCTGGAGATGGTGTTGAAAAAATGAGGACTATAAAAGCCTGTTTGGTTTGGACAAATATGCTAGCAGGAGCATAGAACGAGACAGAATATGGTTGTGAAACCAACAAGTATTTATGTTTATATTCTTTAAATGATGGTTTACTGTTTGTTGTGCAGAGCGAAGGGAATGTAATAACCGTTATTGTATGCTGGAGTTGGCAGGTTTTTCCCCACCCAAATTAAACTTTAAACAATTTTGAGACTGTGTTTGTATTTTCATGTCTGATTGAAACATTTTTGAAAGATCAGGTGTGGGATCTGGCACCAACTTTTCTTATGGGCATCCTTCTTTGAATCCAGCGGGCTTGACGTTGGTGTTTGCAGTACTTCTACAAGAATGCTGATCTATTCAAAGTATCTGTATAATTATGAGGGGGATTATATTGATGGCATTTATTGTACTTTGCATTGTACTTTGGAATTCTAAGTTGTTGTTTTTTTCCAATGAAGACACTGGTCTGCATACACATTTTTTCAGTAATTGAAGGAGATTGACGGTAAATTTTGTAGATTTTGTTTAATCTGTCAGTAAAATTATACATAGATCTGAACTGTCTAAATCCCAGAATTCCCTATTTTGGTCATAATGCGGATATCATCATACGTGACTGACAAAAATTCACGTAAAGCTTGTTAGCTATTCTTGCAGTGGTTTCTTAGACTTTTTCAACAAAATATCCATAAACTTGCTTATTTCAGTAAAAATGAAATTAATGTGTGAATATGTCATCAGGCTGTGAAGGAATACCCTTTTTGAAATAAACCCTGATTTTTTATTTTTTTTTCTTCAATGTTCTTCTCTTGCATTATGTGAACCATTTCAGGAATCTTTCCATGACTTTCCAAATACAAACTGGTAGAAACACTGAGATAATATATCTCAATCTCAATTCATTTGTCTTCATAAGGTGTTGGACTGCTTCAATATATACTGGCATGCTGCCTGCAAATCTCTGGAAATCTACTGAAGGGACTAAACGTGCCTCCAAAATATTTTCCCTCATGTTGTGTTTTGATGATGGTGGTTGAGAGCATAGCCTTGTTGGTCCTAAATCACTCATAGGTGATTTAGGACAAGTCACAGAGGATTTGAAATCTAATGACTACAAAACCCCTACAGCATGTGACTCGCATCATTTTCCTACTCATCAAACCATTCAGCTACCCCCATGTTCCACATGGAGCGTACGTGGGTTCGAGGTATGGTGGATGCTGACTGAGCAATTTACTGACCTTAAATAATATTCATAGTATGTTGCAAGAGCTACCTTGACTCCCTCCATAACAAATATTCAAAGACCAGCATATATATTTTTAAGTATTGGAATTGATCAATAAAATGCTGAAAAAGTGTGTTGCTTTTGGGAATTTGAAAACTGAGTATGGGAACTTTTTATAAGATTTGAGATTTTGTAGAATCATTTATTAGATTAGCTGAAAAAGACATTAATAGTGACCCCCTTTTTTTTTTTTAATTGCCTGGTTAGAAGTTTATATTGCATCTTCATCTGTAAGCTGTTAAATCATGGTTTCCATTGTTGTGAACTATATTTACTCTGCATGAGTACTTAAACACACTGGGTGATTATTGCTGCCCTGCATCAAAATATAAAATATTTGCTGATTTCCAGAAAAAACATTATTACCTTGTTCAATTCAGTTAAAAATGCCTATAAAAATATTCAGTCTCATAGTTTTGTCACAAAAAAGCAAATCAATTTTTCTTCGCTTATGACCTGTTTGCGCTCATTGTATTTCAGCTTCTCCAACACAATTTGTATATTTGCATAGCCTTCTTTTAATTGCACAGAACGACCAATTGACAATAATGGCTATTATACAGTAGGATACACTTTAAGATGGCTTTTGACCTCTCAGTTGATGCTAGACCAAAGTAACGCAGCTGCTTCCTTCAGCAGATTAAAATCTTGTACATGTATGTACAAAATGACCAGGCAACAAATAAGCTACTAGAATCTTCAAAATCATTAGAATGTTGTGGCTCTGGAGAAAAGAAAAACCCCATCAGACTCTTCCCTCTCATTACCTGAGCCAGTAAAAATGTGAGGTGGTATTTAATATGGAGGATGTACAGGTCTCATTACTGATGCCTGGTTAAGGTAAACAATAAATTATTTTGTTTTGGAACTGTATCTAGAAATATATTGATTAAACTGAAGTGGCAGTTGTCAAAGTGTTTTTGTGGCTCCCTTGATTAGACTGGAATACCAAAACACAAGTCTTTTCTCTTTCCCTTAATCCATGCTCTTGACACACACCCTGCAAACTGAATGAGATGCCTATGGCTTGTCTTGGTCACCCACTGTCATCCAAAAAATGAACAAAGTATGCCCTTTTCATTAAATCTTTGATGTTTCGTCAATGTTTGGATGTAGTGGAGCATATGAATAGGAAAAAAACCCATCTTTTCATATCGTATTTACAATCGCCACTTGTGAAATAACATGACTGTAGAGCAAATTGAGTATGAATTTTGACATCAGCAACCCCAAATTAGTAAAGTGTTTGATTTCATACAGCAAGTGGGATGCTAGACAGTGTATTGGTATGAGTACAAGTCTACTTTGCTCAAAGTGTCTGTTTTTACTACAGAATGGATGAATGGATTAGAAGGTATTTTCTTTAGCATTATTTTAAAAAGGTGCAATTAATGGTAAGAAAAGGCAATATCAAAGAAAATCCAGGGTGTCTGTAACATTCAGCATAATTTTATTTTTTAAAAAAGCAAGGCTCTCAATAAGGTTTTGTTTCGTATGTATGCTAAGATGTAAGTTAATAATAAGGAGTAGGAAGGCTGTTTTTTTCTTGAAAATTTTCCCCCTGTCAATTTAACATTTTATAAGATAAATAATTCTATATTAAACATTCGTTTTTTTTCAATTTTTTTTCAAATATGTCCCGAGTTTCTGTTCTCAAAGTTGGTTTAATTATTAGTTTTGTCTTTAAATTAAGTAAATTGAGTTGTGTTATTTATGCACTATATGTCACGCGTTTCCCACGTTTTCTCCCATTATAATAATCAAATAAGGAGAATCAGACGTTATTATATAACAAAAAAAAAAATAGCCGTCCGTTGCGTAACAACACTGCCCGCCCCCTTTTCACTCACTCCGCGCATGCGAAGTACAGATATACACGCCGCCATTGAGGGACCCACGATCTGGAGGAAAGGGTCAGAGAGGTACTTCTACCAGCGGTGCCTGCACGTTTTTCCAGTCTTCTGCTACAACTTTGGCTTGAGCTACCGTTTTTAATACTTGACTCAGGCTCTTGACTTATTTGCTGTGGATGTTTTTGGGTCGAAAACTGTCTTCATCGTTACTACAAGGGAGCCTGTTGTTTTTCTTTTTTTTTCTTTAAAAAAAAAAGTAGATTCTAGAAGTAACGGGCAGCAGCTATAACGAGGCTACAGCAGGCTAGCTAACGTTAGCCAGCGACCTGGCTAGCTGCACACGAGCTGAGCATTGCTCGGTGGTGGCGGGGGGGCGGTTTGCCTACAGTGTCATTTGATGGATCCGAGGATCGCCTGGTTCCAACCAGAACAACGTGGACCCGCTAACAACCTGTGGATGCAGATTTGGGAGATGACACAGAGAATTGGCTACTTGTACGTGAATAACAGCTACACTACTGTATCGAGCCCAAAAGCTAACGTTAACGGGGTGTCGGGAGCCGTCGTCGCGGAAGGAAACGAGGCACCCGATACAAAAAGCAGCGGCATCGGAGAAGCCAAGACTCAGGGGATGTCGGCCCCGATGGGGGATGGAGAATTGACAGTACAGGGGGACTTCATACCACTCGAAACTAACAGCAACCACAACAGCCGAGTCGTTGGTACGGGCGGTGTCGGTGGAGGAGGGCAGCAACAGCACGGCAGCGGAGTCACGGACGGACAGCCCCCCAAAAGAAAAAGGGACAACAAAGCTAGCACTTTCGGATTCAGTGTCATCTTAAACGGTGACAATAAAGAATATGTCGGTTACACGGGCACGCCATGGAAAGAAAGGAACTACTCAGAGGGAATTATAGGGTAAGAAAGAGTTTAACGAAGTTGGAAAAGAGAGAGAACCTTTATAAATTATTTTACTGTATTGGACCCCTTAATGAGGGTGTGAATGTGTAAGCCAACCCCAAGTAGGTGTTCACCTGCAGTGTTTTATTTATTTGTTTATTTAAAGCCTAACTTGAACACCTGCATGCTGAGATAATTGAGGCTGTCAGATCCCATCCCCACCCACTTTGTCAGCTCCACCTATCGTGTTGGGCAACCATGTGCAATGTTTTCTAATTGCATTAAGGCTCATTTGAGCATAAAATTTAATACTTTTGGTTGAAAGGCACCTTATTTAAGACTATTATATAAGGTTATGAAAAGGTGCTGTGGTGGGAGTGGCGTGAGTTCACATGGCTCCTTGGCCAAAATCATATGGTATCTCCTTTGCAGTCCAGAGTTAAAAGAAAAAAAGTTTGATAGTGCTCTCTGCCACTATCATGAAACACCAAAATAAGGAAGTATATTGTGGAAGAATGGCTTTTTATCCCTCCAAAGTTGCAGAGACTTAGAGTCGGTGTTAAGCTCTATGGTTTGCATATCGATGACCAGCTCCTTGTTACAGTCTAATTATTATTTCGATTCTACGTGGTTCTGGATAAATATTCAACACCATATGAGTCTCTGTAGTATTTAGAACATTATAGTGATCATTTAGGTTAAGTGATAAGTGTACCCAGTCTTGTTCTTATACGTACTCATTACTGTTGCTGGGTAAAGTTCATGTTTGCGTTCACCAACAACTTTAGGCGAAAGTGGGGAGGCGAAAACTCCTTTAATAGAAACGAACCTTTGGAAGAAACAGACCACTTCAACTGGTTATGAGAGGGAAGCAAAGAGAAGGAAAATGGAGAAATGACAAACAGTACAATAAAAAGTCAGTAAGTTGGTGGGGGTCAGTAACTGCAGATCAAAAGCCTTCTGCTCTTGAGCCAAACACACCTGCAGTACAAGGAGAAAGAGAGGACAAACAGTTAATGGCATTCAATGCTGGTGTACAAATGCTCAGAGGGTGAAAGATATGACAGAGGACAAATTGCAAAGGTAAAGAATAACATCATGACACTGACAAATACAAGGTGAAGGAATGCAAATCAACAGGTTGGCTAACCTGGGCTGATGGTAGATCAAATCTGCTGTATGGATGCTATACTACGATTGTGGTTGTGAAGTGGCCTTTTAGTTAGTGTCGCTGTGGATTTCTATTAGCCTGCGGAGTGTGATCATAAGTGCTGTTAGTCTGTGGACAGCTAAGGAGTGTTTGTAGCCCCTTTTAAGGAATTAAATTATTTTCCTGTTATTTCTAGCCACTAACAACGGTGTATTTTAACACAGAGTGCACTGTGAAAGCAAAAGAAAATGCAAGTTAAAAGAATTTTTGGCATTGGTGGTGATTTTTGACCAGCACTCATGGATAGTCAACATGGTTATAGCATTGTTATGGCAATCAGTCTGTTTCCCTGCTTACAAACAAACCCTGCTTAAAATCTGGTTGTCTTTGAAATATTTATTATAGTCCTAATGCTTTTCCTTTGGAGAGGGGTCAAAGACTCTTTGGGTACCAACATTATTCATATGCAAGGGAAAAAATACTGGAGTTTAATGCTAACTTCAGCAGTTATTTGATTCATAATTTCCACAAAGCAGATTCTGGCAGCTACTAAACTATACTATCACTTCATTTGAGAGACTCTCACTTCATTTACTGAGAATGAGATTTGATTCCGTAGAGAGCATGCATGTTTAAATTGCCGGGCTTATATTGTTGTTCCTACCTACTACATTTAGTCTTCTAGCATTAGTCTACAGTATTGAACTACATGACTCAATGAGAGAAGACTGCCTATATTAACTTTTTGCCTTTTTCTTTTCATTCTTGTCATTTGTTTATTTTAGATGTGATCACTGTGGGGAAATATTTTGGTGGGTGGGGCTCTGTTTTAATTTTCTTTTTTTAAAGAGCAGAAGTTTGTCTCTTTTCCCACCCCTTTCTGTTAGGCAAGTGCAGACAAGCAGAACACCCTAGTGTGGAGTTTAGTCTTTGGCTGATTCTCATTTATAGTAATATTGTAGCTCTGTGTTTGCTTAAGGACATTCCTTAGTGATTAGCTGGGCTAATACTAAAACCTGAACCTCAGAGTCAGAATCGGACTTCAACCACCACGGAAGGCTTTCTGTTTAACCATACTGTAGCAAATCACAGGGCCAATGTGATGTATGGCAGTACAGTAAATGTATTTTGAAAATGAACATGTGCAGAGCTACTGTATATGTAAATGGTTCACTGTAAAATATCCCTTGTTATACATGTTTTGTTGCTAGGGAGTTGTAGCCTGGGAGCACACTAATGCAACACCTTGAGTCAGACAGATGGAATATACTTTTAAATCAGTGGCTTTAAAAAGCACTGCTGTCATGGGTGCTAGCATTAATGGTCATGTTGTTCATGAGAAGAATATCTTGTGGCTGATTGGTTCTTGCTTAAAAAGACTATACTTTTCTACTGTTTTTGACTGTGAGATGTAGTTACCTGGGATTTCAAAGACCGCTTGTCCTATTTTATTTATGTCATGTGCACATTTCTTGATTTGGCCGGCATATTGGATGTGATACAACCACTGGTTGGTAGGGGAAAAATGTTCCCCAACTGGTTGGCAAGTTCCTGTGTGTCGCTAGGTGAAATTGGTTTCACCAATTTCTTCCTTTTTTTTTTTTTTTTTTTTTTTTTTTTTGTAGATTCATTTTTTTGCCTGGAAATTGGCACACTTGCCTATAGAGTTTCATGTTTATCTTAGCGTACTAACTAACTCTAAGCCCAGAAGTAGTAAAACTTCAGAGGGTACGATGGTAAACTGGAAAAGGAGAATGCTTGCCTTCAAAGCAAAAGCTCTGTATTTTGCAAAATGTTGGCTACACTACTAAGGCACAGCTTTTACTTTGAAGGTGAACCCTCTTCATGTTCAGTTTGCGTCACAGTTTCACTACATCTTGGAGAGTAGCTGGACAGTGTTTCTTAGACAATCCGTCATTGCCATTCAAAGTACAACTGTAGCAATATGTCACCAAAGCAATCGCAAGGCTGTTATTTAACCAACTGGTTGGGAAATACACTTTTCCCTCGCAACAAGTGGTTGCCAGGGGGCTGGCTGGCTAGTCTTTAGGCGTGCATGGGTGGGGATTTTAGTAATAATTTTCCCAGCAACTGCAGTCAACCTCTAGCAACCACATGCAACCGAATGCCTTATTCACGTGATCCTACATTGTCACCATGACAAAATGGTGTGGAAGTTAATACCATGTGATCTGTGGACATGAGTGTGCAAAACATCAATTGAAGTTGATGAGGTTTTCAACAATTTGAATTTATAGGCTCAGTCACCAGTTTTCGTTCACAGTAAGACTTTAAGTCTACTCTCATAAAAATTGGGTGATTCTAAAGATCAGACCAAAGCCATGCTCATTGGTTAACCCCATCTCCACCTGCACTTTTAGTGGGATGATGTTAAGTTTTGCTGAATTGAATTATGGATTTGTTGCTTTGCTTGCTGAGCTTGCAGTGAAAAGTCCAGTAGACTTCATCTTGTCAAGTGCTGTTACAGGTGTTAGCCAACCAGATGAGCTTTATTCAAATCATTTGGTGTGGCTTTGGTCAGTCAAATCAGGTTATTAAAATATACTGAAAATAAAGTGGTTGCACTTCTAGTTTGATGAACTGTAGACAAAATGAATCCTTGTGGAGAGTCATCACCCTGTCTATTAACAAATGTATTAGCATGCAAGCTAGCTTGTCTCAGTCCAAGATTTATTGTTGTACCTTTACAAGTTGCTGTTGCTATGACAATCATGCCAACATGACCAGAGAAATCTTGCATTACTCATGTTAAATCTTCCAAGTTTCTTCTCTGTGATTCATCTGTGATTAGTAAAAGCTATCTAAGTGAGCCATATAATAATAATATTGAGCAAGTGTTGGTTACACGTGTGAAAAACTGTTCTAAAGCCTTTCATCTGCGCTCTTAAGAGAACAGGGTAGTGTGGGTTCAACACAGACATTTGCAGACATAGGGTCCGCTCTTCGTACCTCGCTAAGTAAGTTAGCTGGATTTGATTGTTGACGA